GTATTATGTAACTTTTCTGGTGGAGGGTTATTAAATGCTTGTCTCCATGGAGGTGTTATTGCTCATCTGGAATGTTTTACAATATGGTATTAAACTTTTCTATCTTCCTGGAGACTAAGACAAATTACAGGTCAGATCTGTGGAGAGGTGACCACGCTCACAGTCAAAATGCCTGTTTTTCTAGGTATTTTTCAGCTGTAAAACCACCTGTAATTGAATAAACTAGATCTGTTTAATATCATACTGTGTAACATTCCAGACAGAGCAAGCAGGTGTCAGACCCTCAACCAGAAAAGTTACACAATGCATCTTTAAAGCCAAAGTATTTACATCAGTATCAGAAGAAAAAAGCTGGATCTGTGCATCCCTAAGTTTAATGTAATCTCCATGGAGACAAGCATGTAACGGACTATCCACTAGAAAGGTTACATAATACAGCTTTATGTGGTGGCATTTTACAGCAGACAAGACAACCTGTGTAAAGTTTCCCTGAAACATTTTTACTGTAAATTTACTTTATGTCTTAAGTGTTTTCCATCTTTTATATAGTGGACTCCCTCAGTGCAAACAGCTCAGAGCAAACAAAAACTTTGGTCCTTCTTGAAGTATTCATGAGAAAGACGAGAGCAGGACTGAACCAGGTCTGAACAAAAAGCAGGTCTCAGACGGACTGGGGACAGAGCCAAGTCCTGATACAGATCTGGCCTACATACAAGATGCATAGGAGCACTGTTATATGGAGTCCAAGCTTAGCGTTTTGGATGTTGTTAGGATAGAAAGATAAGCTACAGAGGAGGGACTGTGAATATATGCATTTAACTTGATCTAACATTTTATGCCAGACTAAATCAGGGCTGAAACAGGAAACATATGCAAACTAGAACTGGACTCAAGATACATAAACTACTCCAAGTATAGTCCTGGTGAATTCCTGATTTAGTCATGCTTCAGTCCTGGTTTAGTCTTGGTTTAGCCCTGGTTCAGTCCTATTTTAGCCCTAGTTTTAGTCCTAGTTTAGTCCTGGTTTAGCCCTGGTTTAACCCTGGTTTAGTCCTGATTTAGTCCTGGTTTAGCCCTGGTTTAATCCTGATTTAGTCCTGGTTTAGTCCTGGTTCAGACCTGTTTTAGCCCTACTTTTAGTCGTAGTTTAGTCCTGGTTTAGTGCCTGGTTTAGTCCTGGTTTAGCCCTGGTTTAACCATAGTTTAGTCCTGATTTAGTCCTGGTTTAGCCCTGGTTTAGTCCTGGTTCTGTCCTGGTTCAGTTCTGCTTCAGTCCTGGTTCAGTCCTGGTTTAGTCCTGGTTTATCCCAGGTTTAACTCTCGTTCAGTCCTGGTTCCGCCCTGGTTCCGTCCTGGTTCAGCCCTGTTTAGCCCTGTTTTAGTTCTGGTTTTAGTCCTAGTTTAGTCCTAGTTGAGTCCTGGTTTAGTGCTGGTTTAGCCTTGGTTTAGTCCTGGTTCCGTTTTGGTTCAGCCATGTTTTAGTCCTTGTTTTAGTCCTGGTTTAGTCCTGGTTTAGCCCTGGTGTAGTCCTGTTTTAGTCCTGGTTTAGTTCTGGTTTAGCCGTGTTTTAGTCCTGTTTTAGTCCAAGCAGGGCTGCAGGAGAATCCCCACAGGCAAAAACACTGATCTAATGATGAATGACTCTTCTCCTTAAATCAAATCCAATACTTCCCCTCTGTGTCAGTTTCAGTTTCAGTTGTGCTTTTTGTGTTAAAAAGGTCAGTTTCTCATAAGGTTAAATGAACACACAGATTTGGGAGACATTTGATAAGAAAGTGTCTTTTTGGAAAGTTACAAGATCTCAGAGGAAATCCGGACTTACACTTAAGATTTACCCAGAGTTATTTGAGTTTAAACAGTTGCCTTTGGGGTTATTATCACGGAATACTTATGACAAATATTATTGTTGTATGTGTCAGATGCCCTCCCATCCTCTTGTATCCCTATAATGTTTTTCGTAATCTGTTTATTGTATTGAGAGACTTAGAAAAACATGCATCCATAATGTGAGCGGGCTCTTGTTTGTCCTGGAGGGGCCTCTTCCTGATTGTTTCCATGGCAATGTTCTTCCTTTGTCTGTTATATTCCACAGTAAAACATAAAACTGATCTATTTCCCTGAATTCTCCAAAGTATTTCCATGGAATAATGCATGACGTGCCACATATAGAAAATTACATAGTGTTGCTTTAACTAAGATGGAGGCAAGTCAAGATGTCTCTAGTTAATCTGCAGATGTTGTGGTGTGTCAGATACCCTCCCAGATGTTACGGTGTGGTTGGATAAATACAGCGGGAGAACGAACCTTGTCACTGATAGAAATGATCAGGGAAAAACATTTGTGGATTTGACTTTTGGAGATTTGTGATGAAAATACCAGAGAATGAGACAGAACGCTGGCTCCATTTTTGCTTACGTGTCTCTTGTGATTTTGACCCACTTCTCCAAACCCAAACCCCTCACTCTGCAGTTTTATCAGAGCACCCACCGCCACGGGTCAGAGGTCAGGGCCTGTCTGTTATCTCCACCCGGGCAGCCGACAGTGACGCGCCGAGCCGTAAATCAAACTCACCCATTCAGACAGACACAATACAGATCCCACAACACTGAAGAAAGAGAACAGCAAGGGATCATGGGAAAGAGACCAACTTGTACATCATAAACTAAGTAGTATTTCAGAGAGTTGTTGTAAGTATTGACTAAAATGCAAGAAAAAAAGCGCAAAATAAAAAATAAGGACTAAACCAAAATAGGAACTAAACTAGGATTTAACTTGGTCCAAAACAAGACAAAACTAGACTTTTAAACTCAACTAAATCAGGATTTAACTTGGTCCAAAACAAGATAAAACTAAACCTTTAAACTCAACTAAACCAGGATTTAACTTGGTCCAAAACAAGACAAAACTAAACTTTTAAACTCAACTAAACCAGGATTTAACTTGGTCCAAAACAAGACAAAACTAAACTTTTAAACTCAACTAAACCAGGATTTAACTTGGTCCAAAACAAGACAAAACTAGACTTTTAAACTCAACTAAACCAGGATTTAACTTGGTCCAAAACAAGACAAAACTAGACTTTTAAACTCAACTAAACCAGGATTTAACTTGGTCCAAAACTTGACAAAACTAGACTTTTTAAACTCAACTAAACCAGGATTTAACCTGGTCCAAAACAAGACAAAACTAGACTTTTAAACTCAACTAAACCAGGATTTAACTTGGTCCAAAACAAGACAAAACTAGACTTTAAAACTCAACTAAACCAGGATTGAAAAAAGAAATATGTGTAAACTAAAACGGAATTGGAGATGCATAAACAAGCAAGTAAATTACTACATTCAAACCATACAACAACTCATCCTTATGTAACAAATAATGCTCCCTACAACTGTACAGCAACTCACCCTTATGTAACAAATAATACTCCCTACAACTGCACAACAACTCGCCCTTATGTAACAGATAATACTCCCTACAACTGTACAACAACTTGCCCTTATGTAACAAATATTACTCCCTACAACTGCAGAACAACTCACCTTTATGTAAAAGTAACCCTATACTTATTTTCAATGTATTATTACCATTTATATTTACTTTGTTATGATCATATATTGTGATGTGTGAGCTACTGTGTGCAAATAATTTTTAGTAAAGTTTGTCTAAATCTAAATCTAAGTGAAATCCTGGTTTAGTACTAGTGTAGTCCTGATTTAGTCCTGGTTTAATCCTAGTATAATCCATTGTCCAGTATCTCCAGTCACATCCCCGTCCCCCACCCTCCATCGGGACTGCAGCAGTGAAATGTCAAGCACTGAGAATATCCCATGGAGCTCTTTTGTGTGGACGTCCTGTTGCCGTAGGAGACCAGAGCCTTTCCCCTCTGGGTTTGGTCTGGAGGAAGTCTCTGCTCCTCTGAACATCTGATCACATGTTTTTAAGGCCCATTGTTTAATAATATGGTTCAAACTGGAAGGAAAACTGCTCAGAGGTTTCTCTGAAATCAAACTCCAAGAAAGTATTACATCACTGTGTTTCCACAAAGAGCTGGAAGATAGGAAACTAAACCACAGATTTTTATTGAGAGTGGTCTGTCATCAAAATGCTCCTTTTGCAATGCACTTATAATCTTGAAAACACTGAAAAGGACACATTTATTTTATACTGATGATAATTAATAATAATGATAATGGCGGAACAGGGGCTGAGTGGTTAGCACTTATTCACAGCAAGAAGGTTCCAGGTTCAATCCCTCAGGCCTTTCTGTGTGGAGTTTGCATGTTCTGTGTCTGGGTGGGTTTCCTCTGGGCAGTCCAGTTTCCCCCATCAACCTAAAAAAACATGCACCATAGGTCAATGACTCCAGAAAGAATAGCTGTGTGGAAGCACAACTAAAGGAGTTCAAAATAAATACAAACACAAAATTAGAAGCTGCATGCAAGATTTTGGTTTTAAATGCCATAAATGTTGCGTTTAAAACCGTGTTTGTGTCCGCGGATACAAGGTAAATGTGTTAATATAAAATATAACTTTTTGGTAACAATTTTAATCCTGATTTATTCTGAATTGCAAAAAACTTTAGATGTGATCAGTAAGTTGTTGATGTTATAATTTGGTGTTTTGGTTCAAAACATTTCTCCAGTCAGAAAGCAGCATGAGCATCACTTGAAGTCTCAAATTTCAGTGTTGAAATCCAGTTGTTTTAAACCTAAAATGCCTCTCTCTGATCTGAATGGTAATTCCCTAAACCCCAGCACTTAGAGCCAGTCATGAGTAAGTGCTAGTGCAGCCTCTGCTGCTCAGGGAGGGAATTCTGGAGGTTCTGAGCTTCACATGAGGCCTGTCCATATACTGAGAATGAGACAGACTTGCTGTCGTCTGTCTGCAGGTGAAGGCTTTGGCAACACAGGTTCAGATGTGATTGTAGAACCTTTTTAAAACAGTAAGAGTGCAGGACATGTACATGTTCTTTAATATATCCCTCTCTCTCTCCTCAGTACCCTTTTGCTGTTGGCCTGTCTGTGGCTCTGAGCTGGTGTGTCCTGGTCTGTGTGAGCCGCATCTACATGGGCATGCACTCTCTACTGGTATGTACACATACTACTATTATTATAATTACTGCATACAGTACCACTATTATTACGGTACTACTGCAATTACTACATGGGCATGCACTCTCTACTGGTATGTACACATACTACTGTTATTATAAATACTGCATACGAGACTTAGACAAACTTTATTGATCCACAAGGAACATTATTTGAATACTACTATTACTACTGCAAATATTACATGGGTATGCACTCTCTACATACAAATACTACTAAAAACTAAACACTACTATTACTACTGCACAATAGTACTGCCAGGTTCCAGTCCTAGGTTCTTGGGTGTGTTCACTCAAGTGGATCACTGATAATTAGAAATGACAGTATCTTATTGCTGAGTAAAATGTGAGTAAGTGCACCACTCTAGGCAAAGAAAACACAAGAAAACCCTGGTAGATGACAGGTAGCCATAAGGGTTTAGCTCCAGTCCCTCTTTCCCTTTGTCCTGATCCTGAATGTAAAAACTCTGAGTCATTTAAACCTGAAACTAAACCCAAGTCAGAGTTTAATCAGAGGATCCAGTTTCATCCATCACATGAGAGCTCAGACCCAACTGTGCCTCTGCTGCTCCAGGGGTCCGATTACACACAACACACAGAACTGTACTCTATATCACAATGGAAGTGCAATGATGAAATCTCAAAACTAAACATCCTGTTTCTTTAGAGATAAATCTTCTACATGTTGTTTAGACCTCTGCAAACATGTTCTGATATGTCCCATGTGTCAGATGCCCTCCCTGTGTGTCAGATGCCCTCCTTCTGTCTCTATGGGGTCTTATTCTGTAAAAGCTGCTAACCCTGTAGTTTAGACCACGTTCTGAAACCTCATTATGTAACTGTTTCATTATGGCTGTGTTCATTGCACTGAAAAACATTGAAAGAGATGCATGAGCAGGCTTGCATCTCCACAAACTTGACTCCTGCTTGATCTGGAGGATGGCCTCTTCTCTTTGTTTCCATGGAAATGTTGTTCCTTTGGCTGTAATTTTTCATAGTATTACATAAAACCTACCCTAAATCTATCTCCCTAAAGAGTGTTCATTGCAGATGACTTTCCACCACCAGAAAATTACACAATATCACTTTAAAGGTGCACTATGTAACATTTTGGTTGGGGGTCCAGCACATGCTTGTTTCTATGGATATGTCATTGCTCTGCCTGGATTATTCCACAGTATGACTTTAAACCGCTCCATCTTACATTTATACAATTACAGGTGGTTTTATAGCTCAAAAATACCTACAAAAGCAGAATTCAGACCTCTCCACATATCTGACTTGTAACTTGATCTGGTTTGGTCTCCATGGCGATAGAAAGGTTTAATAATACCATACTGTGAAACATTCCAGACAAAGCAATAACATCTCCATGGAGAAAAATATTTGGCAGACCCTCCACCAGAAAAGCTACACAATGCACCTTTAATGCTCCTGAATGATGAGTTTAAAATGTGCACTCTGGACAGAACTCTCCTACTTTGTATTGATCATAATACTTTTCACCAAAATCATAATTATATTCTTATGATAGATAGATACTTCATTGATCGAGAAAGGAATTTTAAAATCCAAAAATGTGCCCTCTAATTGGTTCTAAGCCATATTTGCTTTAATGTTCAAATCTCCCCAAATCCAACATTTAAATCTTTAGTTTGTTGAGAAACTTCCTCTCTCTTTCTCAGTTTCATTTTAGTAGTCTGTCTCCAGTCTGAACATGCTCTTTTGTGAATCCTGTATTTGTGTTGAATAAGAATATGAACTGGTCCAGACCTGACAGAGACCAGATCTCACCAAAACCGGATCTTTTTAGACAGTGAGAGTAAACCCTCTCACTGTCTAAAAAGATCCGAGAATTAGAGTATGATTTACACAGAAATTCACTGCTTTACAGGGTCTGAGATAGGATGAAACCAGGTTTAAACGAGGTCTGAAACAGGAACTAAACCAGGACTAAACTACGTCTGAACCAGGGACTAAACAAGGTCTAAAAGAAGTCTGAACATGGGACTAATCTAGGTCAGAATCAGGGACTAACCCAGATCTGAACCAGGGACTAAACCAGGTCTGAACAAAGGACTAAACCAGGTCTAAACAAAGTCTGAACCTGGGAGTAAACCAGAACTGAGCTAGGTCTGAATCAGGGACCCAACAAGGACTAAACTAGGTCTGAACCAGGACCAGTAATAATAGCTATATTACGTTACGATCTAAAACAGGTTTAAACCAGGACTGTTTTTGAAGGTTTTTTAGCCCAAAGCAAAGGTTAGCCCCATGACGTCTCCTGTACCACACTCATGTACGATTACACACTATTATTCAACTAATGACTCACCCAAGAACTAAAACAGGGCTGAACTAGGACTAAACCTGGACTAAAACCAGCCTAGGAATAAACCAAGACTAAACCAGAACTAAAACCAGGACCAAACCAGGACTAAATATACATATATACATATAATATACAAATAAACATATAACATATAATTCCTATTTCCTTTGACCCAGCTATTTTTCATTTTATTCACAGAAAATACCACATTTTAGTTTCTAAATCAGGGGTCTCCAACCTGTAGCTCAGGACCTACTGGTATCTCTCCACCCTCTTGCAAGTAATTCACCAAATAATTTCTGAATTAGACGTATTGTGCTGAATAAGCAAAATGTGATGAATGAAATGCCCATTATCATGATGCATGTATCGTTTTGATGCCTAACTTTGTACACTGCTATGCATAATGGTTCATATTTTATAGGCATTTAACTGCACCTCATCTAAGGTCGTTGCGCTTATATTTACTCAATTTCTTGGGACCGCTAAAAGCAGTAACTCGCTGGCATTTTTGTTGTGTAAATGTAGCTCGCCTCTGTTCTAAATAAATGATTTTCAAGCATTATAAAGTCATACATGTGATAGTATTTTGACCCCCATAGTATATTGACCCCGGAGTCAACATACCGTTATAGTAAAGTGACCCCCCCCTATAAGATTTCGACTCCCCTTAATTTTTTCTTTAGTAGTTACTTATCTGATCATTATTTCTCATGTCATTTACTTTTATTATATATTGCCACATATTCACTTTCTTTTAAGGTATTTTAAGAAATGTTTTGATGGAGAACGACTTGGTATTTTGTGTAAATGTAGCGTATTGTTAAAATTGCATATACAGAGCAATCTTGTCACTTTTTATATTGTATTTTACATTGTTATGGTTCCAAATCATGATACATCACTTTGATTACCTAACTAATTAATAACTACTTATCTCATTTTCAGTCAAATATGTGTTTAAACAACTAAGTAATTTTTAACATTCAAAAGTTATAATTGACATAATAATGCATCTGAGTTCTTCAAAAAACACTTTTAAATATGTCAATACGTTTTAATTTGTAGATTATCATATTAATTTTCAAAGTTTTTCTATAGAATTCAAGTTCTTTGTTAATAAAATATAGATTTTCATAGGGGGGTCAATATTCTATAGGGGGGGGTCAACATATCATAATAGGATTCTGAGCCCGGGGTCAAAATAGTATATGGTATGTTGACCCCGGGGTCACCTCACTGCGGGGTCAATATCCTGTACCACACCGGCACCAGACATAAGTGAATTTAAAATCAGATCTATGCAGGATGATGTAATGTGATGATGTTACTGTTCAGATGAGAGATAGAAAAGGTTACTGTAGTTCAATCAGATCATGACCGCTTTACAGACACTGCATTTCTTACTACTTATACATATACATTTACATATTTATGCCTTATTTGACAACATTGCTATTTTTGCTGCTTATTTAGAATGTATTATTACCATTTATATTTGCTCTTTATTATATTATAATGTATGAGCTACTGTGTCCAAGCCACTTCCCTTGTGGATCAATAAAGTTTGTCTAAGTCTAAATCTACAAAGTTGAACAGTCAGGATGGTAAATCAGAGGTTCAGATTGGACTCTCTTTTTTACTACATCTACTGCTTCACTGAATTGTGGAAGCTGTGAAAACAAATGTTCGGAAGATAAAATGTAAGATAAAAATCACAAACTAATCTTATCTTATTCTAGTGAATTCTAATGTAGAGCAAATGTAGTCCTGGTTCAACTCTGGTTTAGTCCTGGTTTAGCTATGGTTTAGTCCTGGTTTAATCTTGGTTTAGTCCTGGTTTATCTCTGGTTTAGTCCTCGTTTAGTCCTGGTTTATCCCTGGTTTAGTCCTGGTTTAGTCCTGGTTTAATCCTGGTTTAGTCCTGGTTTAGTCCTGGTTTCATCTTGGTTTAGTCCAATTTTAGTCTTGGTTCAGTTGCAAATTAGGCTGGCCTTAATCCTAGTTTAGTCCTAGCCCTAAATTTTGGTTTAGTCTTGGATTAGTCCTGGTTTATTCTTGGTTTAGTTGGTCTTTTAGTTCTGGTCTAGTCCTAGTTTAGTATCGTGTTGAGTCTTGGTTTAGTCCTAGTTTACTCCTGGTTTAATTCTAGTTTACTAGGAGTTCAGCCCTTTTTAGTTTTGATTTAGTCTAGTTAGTCCCATTTTAATTCTGGACAGGTTCAACAGGCCGTTGGCTTTTTATCGATGTGAGATAGAGAGGTTACTCCAGGTCGTTAAATTATCTCTGAGACTCTGCTAACAGTGCCAGCGAAAGTGAGGACCGGGGCATGATAACCATAGTTTTGCAAGGATTCACGTGGTTCGGAGTCAAACCGGGGGGGCAATTGTTATCAAGGCGGCCGCCATAACTGTAAAGCACTGCAGGAAACACTGGTTAAATTCTAGTTTAGTCTTGCTTTAATCCCTGGTTTAGTCCCTGGTTTAGTTCTAGTTTAGGCCTGCTTTAATCTACCTTTAGGCTGCGTTCACCCTGGTCCTGCTCTCATCATGGTTTAGTTCGGTTTAGTCTCAGATTTGCTGTGGTGATTGTTGGGAACGTACCCTTAGTTTAGAAATTATTTAGTTCTTTTTCCAAGTTTACTCCTGGTTACACCCCTGGTTTAGTTCTAGTTTAGTCCTGGTTATATCCCTGGTTTATTTCTAGTTTAGTCCTCGCTTCGTCCCTGGTTTAGTTCTAGTTTAGTCCTGATTGCATCTCTGGTTTAGTTTCTAGTTTAGTCCTGGTTGCATCCCTGGTTTATTTCTAGTTTAGTCCTCGCTTCGTCCCTGGTTTAGTTCTAGTTTAGTTCTGATTGCATCTCTGGTTTAGTTTCTAGTTTAGTCCTGGTTGCATCCCTGGTTTAGTTCTAGTTTGGTCCTGGTTACGTCCCTGGTTTAGTTCTAGTTTAGTCCTGGTTATGTCCCTGGTTTAGTTTCTAGTTTAGTCCTGGTTATGTCCCTGGTTTAGTTCTGGTTTAGTCCGGGTTTAGTTCTAGTTTAGTCCTGGTTACATCCCTGTTTTAGTTCTGGTTTAGTCCAAGTTTAGTTCCAGTTTAGTCCCAGTTATAGCCCTGGTTTAGTTCTAGTTTAGTCCTGGTTACATCCCTGTTTTAGTTCTGGTTTAGTCCAAGTTTAGTTCCAGTTTAGTCCCAGTTATAGCCCTGGTTTAGTTCTAGTTTAGTCCTGGTTACATCCCTGTTTTAGTTCTGGTTTAGTCCAAGTTTAGTTCCAGTTTAGTCCCAGTTATAGCCCTGGTTTAGTTCTGGTTTAGTCCAAGTTTAGTTCCAGTTTAGTCCCAGTTATAGCCCTGGTTTAGTTCTGGTTTAGTCCTGGTTTACTCCCTGGTTTACTTACAGGTCATTTGAATCCTAGTTTAGTTCCTGGTCACACTTGATATGGTTTAAATGATTGTGTAGATTTGGTTTGGGTCAGTTTAGTCTTGGTTTAGTTCTGGGTTTAGTCGCAGTTTAGTCCCAGTTTGGATGTGGTGATTAGTTCTGCTTTTCTTGGCCGTAACTCGTTAAAACAAATATGCAGCCGAAGAAACTGTGAAAAGATATATATAGTCGCGTCACGATCAAAGTTCAAAGAGGTGAGCCCAACATGTGACTATCGAACCAGGGGTAAGAGGTCACTGTCAGACTTCCTGTTTATCTAATCGGAGTGGTCTTATCTTAATGCTGATGTCACAATAGTGGAAAGTTATGCTCTTCTTTATTGTTTGACCGTTTATTAGTGATGTCAAACTTTATTGTTCCTTTAACACTTTATCAGTTCACTTCACACTTGTACAATCAAAATATAATACGCAAGAGTTGGAAAGACAAAAATGATGCTTAAAAATATCAGAGGGGACAGAGGGCAGGGCACATGTGGAGGGAAAGAATAAGGTAACATAAACCAGCTTTGGGTGTTAAAGACTGACTAGAGACTGAATAAAGACTGAATGCATTAGTTTAAGAGATTTTTCTGCACTTTAACTGCACTTTTAATGTCCACACACAACACATTTCTGTTCAAGACTTTAATGTTAAAGTAGACCTCTTTAGCTTTTTCAGAAATATACAACTTAAAGAATTCTTTAAACAAAACACGTGTAGACCATCACTCTTTGAAATCTGATTTGTCTGTAACAGAAAATACAGTCCAAACAACAAGTATTTTTATTCCTTCTCCTAATCAAAATAATTCAGTTGAAATCTATTGCAGATGAGTTGAACATGACATTGATGCCATCTTAAAAAAACAAAACTGTTATCAAAGCTATAAAAATCTAGTCAAGGAAGAACAATCTGCTTTAGATGATTTGGAAAAGGATGAAACGATAATCATAAAACAAGCTGATAAAGGTGGGGCTACTGTAATTAGAACAAATCTGACTACATAAAGGAATGCATGAGGTAATTGTCAGATAATACACTCTATGATAAACTTCCAAGAGATCCAACAGAGAACTTTAAGAACTCTATAAATCATGAAGCTTTAAGTCTTTTGTTACAGAATGGTGACATTTCTGAAAATGAGTATTGTTTTCTTAAAGTGGGCTGCCCGACTACTGCTACTTTCTTCATATTGCCAAAGTGGGCTGATCTCACTGTGTGACCTCACTTTGGGAGCTCCCATTCATTGGTGGGGATATGAGCACCTGGGCTGGCAACCATTTAGTATACTGTAATCCAAAGCAAGAGAAAACTAAGGCTTTTTGCTGAAACGTAATTTAAAAATTAAAAAAAGCTTTTGGACCATCTAAGTGTGCTTGGCATTTTTTTCACTTTTAATTGCTGTTCCTTGCGTTTGCACCTCTACAGGAACTTTGGTGTGCATTTTCTGTTTCATTTGATTCGATATATTGATTTCGATATCTGTATATACTATATTTTCTGGGCTATTAGGTGTCATTAAATGGTTTATTTTTGAACTTTTTTCACAAATAAACCTCACTGGACTTTAAAGGAAAACCAACATTGTGAAGGGTGAGTGGTTTTGTTTGTTTGGTGCGTTCACGGTGACTCTGGGCTTTGTTCAGTTGTGGCGTGTAGGGAGGGTGTGTCTGGGACCAACGGATTGTCAGCGTGTTCGCAGTGACTCAGTTGTTCAGTTGTGTCTAGAAGTGGCACATTGCGCTCGGTTTTTCGGTTCGTACCTCCGTTCCGTTCCTCGTCCACATGGAGTGATGAGTGTGTCTGTGGGTGTTTTTGGCTGCGCGGTCTCTGTCTGCTCCGTGTGTGTTTGCGTGCGCTGTGGATGGTGCGGCTTTGTAGTTCACTGAAGTCGTGCTAGGAGACCTGAGTGGATTTATGTATAAGGCGCTCTGGCTTGCAGGGCGTATTTTGATAGGGTTAGAGGCTTAAGAGCACGCCCTATAGCCCGGAAAATATGGTAGTTATTTCCCTCCTGTCTAACCCTTTGCTTCTCTCTCGCTCTGTCTCTCTCAGGATGTACTGGCGGGGGTCCTGTACTCCTCCCTGATCCTGCTCGTGACTCTTCCAGCCTTGGACTCCTTAGACCTTTTCATCCTCCACAGCCGCTGGTCTCCTCTCTTCATCATCGCCGTCCCGTTCGCCCTGTCTCTGCTCTGCTTCCACCTGGATGCATGGAGCACGTCGAGGGGGGACACGGCTCAGATCCTGGGCACCGGGGCGGGCGTGGCGCTGGCATCTCACGCTAACTTCCGCCTCGGTTTCAGCCGCGACCCCGTGTCCCTCTCTCTCTCACTCCCTCCCCTCTCCTTCTCGCTCTTGGTCATGGCGCTGGTGCGGTGGATCGCAGGTGTGGCCGTTCTGATGCTGACGCGCGCCGTGATGAAAGCGGTTACCTTGACGATGCTGTGCCGGGTGCTGAGGCTGGGAGGGGGCGGAGACGTGAGGCAGGCGCGGCAGCACATGGAGGTGGAGCTTCCGTACAGGTACATCGTCTACGGAACGGTGGGGTTCAGTGTGCTGTTCCTCGTGCCTCTGCTTTTCAGCTACGTGCAGCTCTGAAACAGACTACACGACCCATAATGCACTGCAAGGAGGTAACTGCAACTCCCACGATGCACTACCACGACGCAACTGCAACTCCCAGGAAGCACTGCACTGCGTGAGAAACATCAGAAAACTACACAGTGTTTTACAGCGCTATAAAAGGAAACTACAACCTCCACAACGCACTGCAGGCTGATAACTGCAACTCCCAGGATGCACTGCTCTGAGAGAAAACTACAGAGCCTATTGTAAAGCTATTAAAGAAAGAAAGATTTTAATTACAGCCCCCTTTGTGCGGCTCTGACAGAAACTACACAACCCACAATGCACTGCCCTGAGCAAAAAACTACAGGAAATATTTCACAGCCTAATACAGAGCTATGAAAGTAAACTACACCCCCCACGATGCTTATCTCTCAAGCTTCTTTTCATTTTTTTATTTATTAGGACAATATACAATTACATTAAGATTAAAAGCAGAGGTGTAGGTACCAGACTGTAGCTTTACTTCTAACCCGTCACTAGGGTTGCACTAATCCAATACTGGTATCAAATATTTGCACTGATCCTACAAAAAACAGCGAGATCGAATATTGGCTTTGAAATATCGGTTCAGTCGATGTCGTGGTTGGGCATAGAAATCGTCATAATAGTATTTTCTAGTTTTTTTCTACAGGAAGTTTCATATTATTTGAACTTTTACTTGCACAAAGCTGTTCTGTAGTTACTTGAGAGATAAATAACAGCTACAAAACACATTTGTATCAGTTTTATTTTGTTTTATTTTATTTTACGCATTGTGTAACTTTTTTAGCGAAGGGTCCATCAAATGCTTTTTCTCCATGGAGATGTTATTGCTTTGGCTGGAATGTTTTACAGTATGGCATTAAACCTTTCTATCTTCATGGAGACCAGACCAAGTTACAGGTCAGGTCTGTGGAGAGCCAACACCGTTCTCTGTCAGAATGCCTGTTTTTTAAGTATTTTGGAGAATAATGAGTAATGGAATAAATGTAAGGTAGATCTGTTTCATGTCATACTGTGAAACATTCCAGGCAGAGCAATGATATCACCATAGAAACAACCCCTCAACCCTCAACCAAAAAGTTACATAGTGCATCTTTTGAGGAAATACATGCTGTGTTATCAATTGATATCGGTTGTACTTTAAGCTGTAGTAGTAAAATTGGTGTCGGACTTGAAAAAGCTGTATCTTTGCATTTGTATTGTGCATTGATGGAAGGGGCACTTATTGTATTAATTGTCTGTAAAGTGAACAATTAAAAAACATGCTTAATTGTTCATATAAGTTAAAACTAATCAGTAAAATATGATGTTTTAAGTGTTTTTGTTTGTTTTTCCCCCTGATTTGTACTACCCAGAATACACCGTAGTTAAGCCTTTTGCAACACTGACTCTAAACTAGCTATTTATAACTTTAAACTACACAACCCATGATGCCTTTCTCTCCAGCTTCATACAGCTCTGAACTACATCTCCCACGATGCACGGCGCTGATCTTCCACTGTGCTTTTTCAGACCTATATTTTTATACTTTGAAAGAGAGTTCACTGCCTTGTTTCTTGACTGTGGCTTCGACTGTTATTGCTCAAGTCAACGGGAGATAAACTTTTTAATATTTTGTACTAAACAGAATTCACAAATGTAACTTATTGCACTGCCGATAAAGGTGCACTGTGTAACTTTTCTGGTATGGGGTAGTTGCATTGCCTCGAGTGTTCCACAGTAGGGCATTACGCTTACATCAATCTCGCATTTATTCACTTATAGCGATTTCATACATTCTTACTGTGAGTGGGGTCGCCTCTCCACAGATCTGACCTCAAACTCGGCCTAGTGGCTTTTCTCTATTTAGGTAGATAATATTAATGCCATACAGTGGAACATTCTTCCTCCACCTGAAAACTTACAGAGTGCCCCTTTAATGATAAATAAAATAAAGTAACTCATGAGTAACTTCAAGGTAACAAACACATTTTAAACTTGAGGATGGACCACTAAGAATTAAACTGCCTTTTGCACAAAATATTCAGAATTGTCTCAGAAATGCATTTAATTTTGCCTTAAACATAAAAATAACCACTTTCAGATACATTTTCTATTCTGCCTTTTTTTTGGTTTGTTTTAATCTACTGTTTTTTCTACGGCTGTTATGCACATATTGATACTTTGCAGTGGCATCATGCTGGGGGTGTTCTGCGTGTGTGTCTATGGTGGGATGTTCAGCATTTACTCTGGTGACACAATACACACATAAGCAAACACTGACAAAAAAGTTTAAATATAGTCTGAAGAAAAAATACAAAAAGATTTATCGCATTTTTCAGGAGCCTGTGATCAATACGAGCATTCATGGTCCAGTTTAGGAGTTTGATTTTCAACTAAAATGTGAAAGTGACTAACTGAAAAACTGTTGGCCTAGCTAGTTTGTGACTGTAATTTTATTTGAGAACAGCACAAATCAGCTGACCTGTTCTAATTCTAAATAAGTCCGTTCTTTCTTTTCAGATTGAGTTAAAACAAAGCTCAGATCAGTCTAAGTTGAGTAACAGAGCTTCAGACAGAGCAGTGCCTACAGTTAGCGTCACACCCCCAGGTAATATTGATGACATCAGCTGCAAAGTATCAGTTTGTATTATTTTAGTGATTTTAAACCAAGAAACCTTAAAGTCAAAACTCAGAGATGCTTTTTTAAACTGTTTCTAAAGCAATACAATACCACCTGTGGACTTTTAAATGCATTTATTCCAAAGGATTTCATCATTTGTTTTAGAGAAATGGACTCTACGCGGCACATATTTTAGAATGTTTGTGTACATTTTGATTCTTTGACACTGTAGATGTTCGATTTGAGATTTCTGTGTTTGATTTGTTCTGGTCTCAGGAGAAAAAAATAAAATAACTGTAAAAATAAAAATTGTGTTTTCAAAAATTTTATTTGGAGTTTTTCTTCATTATGACAACTACTATTACTGCTATATGTACTACTACTAGTACTACTACTACTATACACAACTATACCACTGCTACTATTACTACTACTACTACTACTACTACTACTACTACTACTATACTACTGTACCACTACTACTATACACTACTGTACCACTATTACTATTACTACTACTACTGCTATACTGCTACTGCTACTACTACTACTACTACTACTACTATACTACTCAAAAATTGTATTTGGAGTTTTTCTTCATTATGATGACTATTATTACTGCTGTTTTACCTACTACTATTTCTACAACTCATACTACCACTACTACTACTACTACTACTACTGATACTACTACATTCTGGTACATCAAATACTGCTACTATAACCACTAATAGAAACTGTAGTTTAAGTATAATTTAATTTTTTACGTTTTTGATGACCAACAAATACTAAACTGGTGTGAGGCAGGGGCATGGGATACTGAAAATTTGTTCTCAAGGATCAGTACAGTTACATGGCTAGAAATGACACATTACATTACAAGAAATTAACGTAAAAGTAACAAGTGTGACCAGGCCAACACATGAAATACACTACTCCAAGTACTAGTTACATTTTAATGCAATTTAAGTAGCATTTTTGGTCAGTCTTTTTATACAAAACTTGGGGGAAAAAACAAAAACGTTTTAAATCACAATTCACTATCTCTGAGCTCTTGCCGATTTAAATGAATTTAAAGAATAGACAAACGGACACGTTTTAACCAGGGAGCTTTTTGGAAACCAATGCAACTACTCCCTCTGCTGGAGAATAGCGAAAACACTTCCCACATGCCAATTTTTACCTCGTTTTCACATTAAGATATTTATTGCAGCATGAAATTTCAGTCAATATTTTACACACTCTTTATTGAGATTAAAAATAATAAAACATTGTGACTTCTGTTGGACGCCATAGTAGATTACGGAACTCTTGTTTGGGAACGACGTCTTTTCTCTTCGGACTGTAAACACTGCAGCACGAGCCACTTCCTCCACGCGAGTTCAGCTCAAAAATAAACGTGACAGGAGCATTTAAGTATTATTTTCTTGATAAATATATGTTTCTAATTACATATATCCCCTCTGTGATACATACGGACATGTTACGGTGAAGATGGGCGAACAAAATGCTCAACTGTTCGTAAAGGCTCAGCTCCTGATTAGTGAAGAAAGGTAAGACTACACAGTTATTAACACATGATTTACAGCTGGGTTTTATCGTTTTGTTTTAACTATTAAAGTCTCATAGACTTGCCTCAAAACTAATTTTGCTGGATTATAAAAATGCATTAGGGTGACCAGAATTTTAAAATAAACTGGGACATCCCCGTTTTTTTTGTTTTTTTTTTGGTTGGGTTTTGGGTTTTTTTTTTGGTTGGTAATAATAAAATTGTGAAACGAGGGCGTAATTAAGGAAAATTGTTAAGCAGAGCTCATTCATGACTAATATGTGAGCCAGTACAGTCCCTTTCTCTTTGTGTTTTAGTAATTTTTAAGTAGATTTTTTGTATTTTACCTTAACAAATGACAATGTGTTCCTCTCTTTACTGTTGGCAGGGATCAGATTGGTCAAAAATAGGGACACCTGTGACATTTCTTGTATAAAACTGGGACACATCAGAGGTTTTTAATAAATCTGCTGGGACAGGGGACACAGGGCTCAAAACTGGGACTGTCCCAGGTAAACTGGGACATCTGGTCACCCTGCAGTAAATTTATTTTAGTAATAATGATAAAGCCAGTTATGTTACGTGAATGATGTTAAAGATTAAAAGTGTAATAAATTGCTAACATTTTATCATTTGACTTCTAACCCAGTTGTATATATTTTTATTGTTAGTAACACAGTGACAGCCTCATCTCTGTTCATCTACAGGAATATCCATGTGTTTCAGAATGATAAAAAATTAAGACCATTGCCAGTTTAAATATAGCAAAATATTATATCTTTTGTATAAGGTGACCAGATGTCCCTATTTACCGGGGACAGTACCAGTTTTCAGCCCTGTTTCCTCTGTCCTAGCAGATTTATCCAGAACCAGTAAAGAAATGTTCCAGGTGTCCCTATTTTTGACCAATCTGATCCCTGCCAACAGTAAATCAGTCATTTGTTTAGGTAAAATACAGAAAACTGCTTAAAAATGACAAAAACACAAAGAAAATGTGACTATACTGACTCATTAGTGTCAAGTGTGTAACAGTTTTCCTTAATTATGCACTCGTTTCACAGTTTTATTATGACCAACCAACCCAAACCAGGGATGTCCCAGTTTTTTATTTTGAAAATCTGGTCACCCTACTTTTGAATATAGATAAGGTTATTTATATGGGTGGAGATCTGACACAGGAATACACGAGGATGGGAAGAGGAATCTGACACACATCTGACACCTTTGTGTCTCCCCAGACTTTAAAATGGAATCGTTGGAGCACAGACTCTCCTCTCTGTCCATCTCCGGCCGCTCAGCTCCATCTGACCCCGTCTACCTGCTGGACCTCTCTCTAGCGCCCCCTCCCGGTGACGCTGTGGTCGTGTCCTGCTCCGATTTCGCTCTTCACCTCCACAACAAGCAAACTCTATGCCTTCTACAGAGCTACAGTGGCCACAAAAGTCCAATTTCAAACGTTACATTCACGCATAAGTCCGCAAACGCTTTCTACTCTGCGTCTTTAGATGGCACGGTGCGTTTGTGGGATGTTCGATGTCCCGGGAAAGAATCGGATCAGATTTTTAGGAGCGATCCGAATCATAGTTTTTCCAGTTTTGATTTGAGCTGTGACGATTCCCTTTTGTGTGCTGGAACGGAGCAGATAAACAACGAGGATAGTTTTCTGGTGTTTTGGGACGTGAGGAAACCCGGAGGAGCTTTGTTAGGGGTCTACTCCGAGTCACACTCTGATGACATCACACAGGTGCTCTTCCATCCCACAGACAAGGACAGGTAAAGTGCATAAATATATCGACAGACTGGAAACATAATAACAGATATGAAACAAAAAAATAAAAATAAGATTGAGGCTTGAAAACAAAAATGAATCAAAGCAAGATTAAGGAACTTTCTTTATGTAAATGTTATGGATGTTATTGCTTTGCCTGGAATAGTCTGCAGTATGGAATTAAAATGATCTATCCCCCATGGAGATGACACTTCACAGGTCACATCTGTGGAGAGCCTGCTCACTGTAAAAGACCACAGGCCAGTGTTAGTACAGTGAGTCATTCAGATTTTACACAGCTTTATCAGAGCTCCCATATCTTTTAATAAGGTTTAGAACATTAAGTTTACAAGGCAATATCTGCTCACATAAAGACCATCACTGCACCGTACACCTTGAAAAGTGTGTGTTTGCGTTTGTGTGTGTGAAAGGGAGAGAGCAATGAAAAAGAGTGAAATGTGAGTGTGTGATTTTGTATGTTTGTGATTTTTTTATATTTGATTCTCTTGATACTTTCATTGTATTTATTGCTTTTTTGTCCAACAATCCCACTGCTTTTTAGTGAACAGTTTTAAAAGCCCTTCTGTAGACTGGTGTTGCGAATAGGCCCTATTCATGCTTACGTCACAAACCAGGAAAACAAAACAATTTCTGATGTAGTTCCCGACACTGGACTCACCAACAGACTGTGATCAAACCCACTGAAGTAAATGTGATCAGAGGTAAAATGAAGACTGCACACATGTGCTGTTTGGAATCATCTGGAATTTGGTGCCTCGTCTCTTCTAATCACATGTACCCAGTGCACTCAGAGTTGTGCGTCAGTGGGGAAATGATGAAAACTGAGGTCTGGTTGTAATTATTGACGAGTCGAACATAACGGAACCCTACAATGACATGGAGATGAAGAAAACTGGGATATTTTCTCATTTTTCCTAGATTTTGTCAGACTTACTACTGCGAACAGAGCCCGCCGGAAGTTGTCATCGCATGCTTCCAAAACGTCTTCCTGGTTTGTGATGTAAGCATGAATAGAGCCTTGGCTATAAACACTGTGATACCTGCATCAGATTACTGAATTGTTCATCTATGTTTGTGAGTTGAATCAAATGAAATGGAAAACACACATCAGATTCTTGTACAAATGCAAGGAACAGCAATTAAAAGTGAAAAAATGCATAGCACACGCAGATGGCTTATGTCCAAAAGCTTTTTTTTTTATTTTTAAACAACATTTCTGCAAAAAGGGCCTTCGTCAGGTTTTTTTTTTTTGCTCTGGACCACAGTACACCAAAGCAATGAAAATTGATCTGACGAAGGCACTTTTTGCCAAAATGTTATTTAAAAATTTAAAAAAGCTTTTGAACATAAGCCATCTGCGTGTGCTATGCATTTTTTCACTTTTAATTGCTGTTCCTTGCATTTGTACAAGAATCTGATGTGTGTTTTCCATTTCATTTGATTCAACTATTGCAGCTATAGTAGTAAAAGTACTTTAATTTGTAGTAAAATGTTCTGCCAATGATCATTCGGGCCAATTCAGCAGAAAGCCTGAGAGCCAACAAATATTGGTCTGAGGGCCAGAGTTTAGACACTTCTGCAATAACATCTCTAAAGAAACGAGCTTAAGACACTCCACCAGAAAAGTGACATAGTGCAACTTTAACTAGTGTATAATGATTCAGCTCATAGGTCACATTTTAAATCCATCCAGGAGCATGAACATTTGAGAGAAGACTGAAATCTGAACTTTAAACTAATCCAAGAATCCCTTGTATAAGACGCCGTGGAGACACTGCCACTGCGAGGGCATCTGACACACAGGGACATTTAGTTCTCAAAAACATTGGAAAGTATGAATCACCCATGCTTAATTATTTATGTAATAAAATTAATCTGCAAATGACAAAATATCCCCTTTTCACTGTATAAAAGCTAACCCTGTAGTCTAGACCTCGACAAACTTGTTCTGAAATACTGATTCATGTTTTTAAATATATCTAAGCCTATTATTCCAGTGTTTAGTCATTCTTTATTGTCCATGTTGGAGAATTTATCATTACAACACCCTTAAAGGTGCACTGTGTAACTTTACTGGTGGAGGCTTGCCATCTGCTTGTCTCCATGGTGATGTTATTGCTTTTCTTGTAATGTTCCACAGTATGGCCTCAAACAAATATATCATGTAGTTATTCAGTTACACGTGTTTTTTATTCCTCAAAATTACTACAAAAACATGCATTATTATTGTGAGCAGGCCCACTTCTCCACAGATCTGACCTGTAACTTGGCCTGGTGATATGGGCCGCTTGTCTTCGTGGAGAGAGTTAAATTAAACGCCATACTGTAGAATTTCCTGGAAAAACAACCTGGAGTCAAGGAAGCGGTGGACCCTGAACCAAAAAAGTTACACAGTGCACCTTTAAATGATTTTCAGGTTGGCTTCAGGCTCCACAGACGGTTTGGTGAACGTGTTTGACCTGACGAAAGGCGCCGAGGAGGATGCTCTGGTAGCCACGTGTAACAGCGAATCGTCCGTGAGCGCCCTCTGCTGGCTGGGGCGAGGGCGGGGGCGACGGGAGCAGACTCGGCTCCTCTGCGTCTCTCACGATGAAGGACTGAAACTGTGGGACCTGGAGAGCCTGGAGACAGAGGGAGAGCTGACGGTCTACAGCACCCAGGACGCACGCACCACCATCGGACACAACGGCACCGTGAGTGGGCGCTGGGCTGGGGGTTTTAAGTAATACATCACTTAAAACATTAAATTGTAAAATAATGGTACACAAGCTTTATCTGGTGTACAGTTCTACAATTCTAACATTTGCTGAATTTAGAATTTATTTTTTCAAGCTTTTGGTCGTTCTTTGGGTCATTTCTTGCTTAGAACTACTATAGCATGATCCAATTTGACATCTAGCTCAGCCCTAGATGAAACTAAACCAGTATTTGATTTGCACAAGTTTCCTTCACAATTGTCCAACGATTGACGTATAGTGCTTGTGTGTGCTCTATAGTTATAATCTACGACATCTGTGGATCATCATGTTATAATTTGGATATTTTAAATCGCAATATCCATCTAAAACGTTTTTAAAAAAGAAACAAGTTTAATCTGTGTATCATTTGTTCGTTCATTTTTCAAAATAAAACAAAAAATAAGAAAACAAAAAAACAACAATTTTCTTCTTTATTTGTCTCCAAAACAAAAATGAAATAAACGGATAATGATTTGTTTTTTCAGTTCTCAATTTTGTGTTTAAATGAAGAATGGAAAAAACGGATAACAACCGTTTCCTGTTTACCTGACTTAAACTGAGATGCTGGACTAAACCAGGACTAAACCAGGTCTAAACCAGGTCTAAACCAGGACTGAGACCAGAACCAGACTGCGACCAGACCTGGACCAGACCAGGACTGAGACCGGGACCAGATCGGGACTGAGACCAGAAATGGGACCAGAAATGAGACCGGGACTGAGACCAGGACCGGACCTGGACCAGACTAGAACTGAGACTAGAAATGAGACCGGGACTGAGACCAGTTTAGTCCTAGTTTAGTCCTGGTTTAGTCCTGGTTTAGTCTGGCATCTCAGTTTACGTCATGGAAACGGGAAAAGGTCATTATCTGTTTTTTTCCATTATTCATTTAAACACAAAATCAAAAACTGAAAAAATGAATCGTTATCTGTTTTTTCATTTTGGTTTTGGAAACAAATAACGAAGAAAATAGTTGTTTTTTCATTTCCTTATTTTTGGTTTTATATTGAAAAACGAATGAGTGAATGATACACAGATTAAGTTTGACTATTATGTTAGAAAACTACAGTGACAAATTTGAGCTGACGTCGTTCATCACAACAAAGCAGCGCATGACTACACGACGCTGCCGAATCCTGCGTATCACCAATTAATAAAAGCTGATTTTTTATTATTTCCACTTAGAAACTCAGTGTATGTAATGACCCTCTCCTGTCTGTCTCTTCCAGGCTGGCTCTGCAGTGGACTACCTGATTGGAGGTTGCTGGTTGGATTCCGAAGGGCAGCTGTTGGTGGTGGGGGGTAGCAGTGGAGGAGACATTCACCTGTTCACCTGCGATAAACCGGGTCTAAACCTGGTGCGGACACTGAGGGCCGGGCACAAAGCCACCGTGAGGAGTTTCGGGTTCGATTCCCAAAGTGTGAGTCTGTTCACGGGAGGAGAGGACGGAGCGCTGCTGCGGTGGAGCCCAGAGGAGAGGAGCGCAGGAGGTGAGGGTAAAAGGAGCTTTAAAGGTGCACTGTGTAACTTTTCTGTTGAGGGTTCACAGTGATTATTCTGAATCCTACACAAATCAAACAGCAATTGCAATACATTAGATTTTTTCCCCCAAATGTGTGCAGCCTCATTAAATAAAAAATATATAGTACTGCCACTTTCAATCACATTTTTGTTTTTATTTTCTTCCAGTTGCAGAGGCAGAGGTTGGGAGCAGCCGACAGGAGCAGAACCGACAGGAGCAAAGGAAACCTGAATCCTTAAAGAGTGATTCTGTAATGAGACTTAAGTCCAGACCTCACAAGAAACACAAGTTCAACAGAGACAAGAAACCCACGTGACACGAACTGTACTATTTTTTATTTTAGCAAAATAATTTATCAAACAATGAAATTTTCTCCAGTTTATATTCTACATGCTTGAAATGCCAAATATTTTTCTTCCTTGGCAACCATAAAATTTTCTATGCACATAAATTGGAGTTATTCTACTGGTTTGATCATACAGTTTACTACAAAAAAAAAAAAGTGAAAGACCTGAAGAATGGAAAGAAAAAGCCCATCGCATGAAATACTGAAATACCCAGTTGTGTCAAAAACTTTTAATAAACATAGAAACAAGAAATGCTCAAATCTGTTTTTTAAAAATAATTTATAATGCATAAGGGTGACAAAACTAAAATTCAAAACTATCAAAACTATATTCATTTGAACAAGTATCGATACTAGTATTTAAAAATAGACAGATCTTTCCTGAATAGTTTGCCTAGAATCTAAAAAAGAACAAGAACATGACCACATAATAAAGAAACTATTATATGGTATTGTATTAAAAATTACATCCTATTTTAGAAACTTTAAATTTCTTATCATTGTGTTATCAGTTATCTTTTTTTTTTGTTGGAAATTTTGGTACTGACACTATTATCTAAATAGACTTGTAAAATCCTGCTACAGCCCATCACTTTTGATCAACAAGAGACTAGTGTTGCCATGATACTAAAATTTCAAACTCGATTTCAGTACTAAAGAATCAACTGAATACTCAATACTGACAATAGAATGGCATTTCAGCATTAAATGGTAGTATTTTCTTTTCTATTCCCATGTGGTCTTATATGTGTGTAATCCCTCAGTGGTCCAGGTAGATTCCATAGTCATCCATGAGTGTACACTAGTCTGTGTGCTCTTATACTTGTTCTGATACAGCTCAAGATCATTTTAAAACTATTCAGGAAAGCTTCAATTTTGTCTTGTGAATGGGATCGTTTAGTATCGATATCTGCTCAAATGAATGTCTAATTTCAATAATAGTTTTAGTAATGATTAGTATCTGATTTTACTTACTTTACTTATACTTTTTATAACTCTACAAAAGGCTGCAGAGTAATAGATGCACTTGTTTGCTTTCAGCCTATAATTGGTTCAGTTGGTAGAGCGTTCGCCCACTCCTTTGGCTGAATCCCTGGTCTGACTTGCTTTCAATGAGTAACTTTTTGCGTGTGAGTATTCCTTGATATAAGCCATAGCGACATGAAGGTCAGACCAAGGTAGAAGCTTTATAAATAAATGTGACATTTATTTTGAATTTTCCAGTCATTCTCATCCCATAATTTTCCACATCTGACCAGTACATTGAAGTTTAAAGTGTAAGATTTTTTGTATAATATGTTCATTATAATTCAAAACTATATAGATCTCTCTCTCTCCCTTTTTGCCCTCTCACAGTCACAACCTGTTATGTCGCTGTTACATAACCATCTGCCTGTCTTTCCCGAGCGCTCCCTTCACCTTTCCCCGGGATCCCCTCTCCCTCCTCGGGCAGCTGTGGAGCCAACTCCCGGTGCTTTTAAGGTCCAAAGCAGGCCCCGGGCAGAGCTCTGGTTTAGCCTCATTAACAGAGCCTGAAACTGGGACACTCTTTGCGATTTTACCCCGATCTCTCGCTCCTCTCCACCAACCTCAGGAGCGCCGTTTTGACGTCGCTGATTGACGTTTTTCTTCGGCCAATCACAGCAGCGCCGGTTGTGACAAAATGTGTATCCCGATAAAACTATGCTCTCCTGACTGATTTAATGAAAAGTGAAAAATAAAGATAACTGTGTGCAAAAGGAGATGGTCAGATGGGGCAGAGGAGTTAATTTCTGTGAAACTGGCATATTTGCAGTAATCTTATCTACACTATATAATTACAAATGTTCATTAAAGATTCCCTATGCAATATTTATTGGAGATGTTACAGCTTTGCCTGACATGTTCCACAGTATTCCACAGACATTATCTATTTCCATAAGGAGAGGCAGGTAAACCCAACCAAGCAAATGTGCAGGTCAGATTTATGGCGAGGCAAGCCTGTAGAATGAATTACAATTCAATTTTGATTAAATAAATAAATTTAAAAAAAACACTTGTAATTGAATTTAATGCAAAGTAGAAAGGTTTAATGCCACATTGTTGGACTTTACAGGCAAAGAAATAACATCTCTATGGAGCAGAGCAGGTGGTGCAACCATCACCAGAAAAGTTTCACAGTGCAACTTTGTCCTTAAAAACTGTATTTTTTGTATTCACTGTGAAACCTCTAACGGAATGAGACTTAACATACATAGCAAACTTAAAATATGATTGTGCAATTCAATGTCTATAACTGTATATAACTAGTACTAGTAGTATGAACAAAGTGCCTTAATATTGTCTGAGCAAACCCTGGTAGGCAAAGCGGTTTCTGTTTTTAAATGCTTACCTATCCATAAAATAAGGAAATGGGGAGTAATAAAATAATTTTGATCTCTTGACCTCTTACCAAATTTAAATCTTTATTTGCTCTGTATTTCTTACCAGTGTTACTGTCAGTTACCAGTCAGTCCGGGGTGCAGACTGCTCCGTGACACCAGCGGCCATTGCGCGTAGTGCGTCTGTGTGCGCCGAGTCAAGCACGCTGCGCTGCGTCTGTGTGCCATGGTCTCTGCCCAACAGTGTTGACAAAAGGGTGAAAAGAACAGCCCCGAACCAAAACGAGCCAAGAAAACTCCAAAACCGGGGCTTGGGACAGGACATACAGACCAATCAGCAACAGGAATGTAATAGCGAATAGACCGCGGCTTTGTTTACGCGTATTTTGCTGTAATTTTATGGGAGTTTGAGGATTGTTGCAGTGCTGCTACTCGTGGGTTTGGCTGCTCCAGGCCGCTGCGTTGCTCCGGGAAAGACATCTGCTGTTTGCCCCGCGCTGGAGGAATCATACGTTTAGATTTAATAACAACAGGACACAAACCTCTGCCTCCGTCTCCACAGACAGAGGATCCAGGAAAGGTCGTGCGCTCGGAGCGGATTGGGACCATCATCCACAGACCGCGGCTGCAGCTCGGGACTCCTGCTCTGTCTGTCAGCCTGTAGCATTAGCATTGCTAGCACCTGGATTTACATCTGCCTGGGATGATGGGTGATCGCCCAAACCAGCCCAGGTAAAGCTGCTCCACTGGCACACGCTGCCAACCACTTTTACGCACGGCTTTTACTACTGTTTGTGTTGCATAAGTAATGGGTAGTAGTAAGTCTGTGGACATGCCCTGACCAATTCTCTAATTATTGATCCCACAACTCTGTCTTAATGTGCACATTTTCAAACTACTCGGTTTGGTAAGAGTTTGCATAGGTTATTTAGGACTGGCTAAATGTGTTCATTAAATTATGCAGTATTTCCAATAACAGCGAACACATTAAGATCTATTTAATAAGTTCAATGAGAATGGCGGTGAAAAACAAGAATGCACTATAATTTATTCTCAGTACTTGATTAATATACAATTACAAGTGTTTTAGCATGCGCGGAATTGAATATAAGTGCGCGGAATGTTTACGTTAGTCGCGATTCCAAATAAACCCGTTGCTCTGAATGCTTGTTAGCTTCAGGTGGCTAATCGGAAAGCTAACCCGCGATAGCCTTAGCATCAACGCAAGCTAGGTCAGAAAAACAATATTTTCTCTACAAAACGAAAATTAGTACTATCAGAACCGACGCGAACAACTGAACAACCCCACCTTGATATTTTATACGCATCCAAAAGTGAACTGTCTGTCAGTAAAAGTATAAAATTGGACATTGTTGGCGTGAATCGGAGCTAATGTTGCTAAGCTAACGCACTGAGGCGCTGTCAAGTTTTGAATCTCGGAGGCCCAACATGGACAGTTCTCACGATCCCTGCTCCTGATCTAAAACCAGATGTGGCACAACATTAGAGTAACGTTTGTGAGGTAAAACTGATTTAATAATTTAAGACTATAATTATCTTTTTTGGTGGTAGAAACATGTACATGCATCTTACGTGATAAAGTGTAATGTTAGACCTATGCATTTAGCTGCGTGCCTAAAATGGCATAGGAGTCTTGCGTGTCTTGTAGGACGATCACACCAGTACATGGCGACTTCGTGCACCTTATGGCGGATTATCTTGACAGTGGCATGCAATTTGTCCAGCATTTTGACATTATACCCTTTTTAAAAACCCTAATTCCCCTATCTGCCATCGTGCATGCATTCATTTCACATTCGAGACTTATAACATTTCACTAAGTAACTGTAATGCAATCTAATTTGATTCATTGCATCCTCAAAATACATTCTAAAAGGCCTTATTAGGTAAAATTGACTAGCATGAGCTTTAAGTCGTGTTACAGTCCTCAAAAACCTATGAGTAACACTTTATTTTTAGTCTGTCTTCATTTCCAAAGCTCAGAATGTTCTGGTCCACCTTGTGATGTCATGTAGCGGTAGTTTTCAAGTTAACAACTACCTTTTACCTTTTGTTCAGTAGAGACTGGCAGTTCAAAGGCTAAATCATCCAAATGATTCTAGTGAAGGTGTATGGAGTTTAAAAACACAGTGGAGCACTTTATGTGTTACCACCTGACATTTCAAGGTGGAACAGTGTTTTCTGTTTGAGAGCCAAAATATCCCGGGTTTGTGTATTAAACATGTGTGAATGAAACAAAACATAACTCCAGGTCTGTTTGTGATGAGGAAACAACATTATAACAGATCAGAAAAAAGCATAATATGGGCCCTTTAAATGCTATAATAATCAAATCATAACATAACATTGTTTGGTGTAAGGTAAATGGCTTCTCTTCTAGGTGGTTCAAATTTAGACTCAATATGACTATTCTCTCATTTCAGTAAGAGACCCATATATATTTCAAGGTGCTTAATCTTTAGCCTTAAGATTTAATGTCAGTGTCAAAAATTAGTGTTGGTAAAATAGCATTTGGCATTTGAAGCTAGCTTTGAAGTCGTGAATGGGTGGGTGAGGTCAGAAATGCTTTGCTTGCCAATATATAAATGTATTCTATATGGACATTCAATATGATATTCCCTTGCCAAGTTGCAATCATCATTATTGCTAGTCTTGAGGAGATCTATGACAAAATGTACTGTGTTTGTTTGTTTCGCACAAGTCTATTGAGAAAGAATAAGTCTTGTTGCATAAATTGAACTGTTAGATCTTGTAGACATAGATTGGTATAAAATAATTTGTTTATTTGTTGAGGAAACACAGTTCTTTAGAAGCAGAGTGTAAATCAAACATTCAAATTTGAAACCACAAACAAATCACTACATGCCGCAGGTTAGTAAGAGGACGTGGAGGCGACAACTGTAGATTTGACAAGGTACATTTCACGCTTTCGATAGTAGGCGTTAGACTCGATGCACAATATTTATTATGATATCACGATGATCAAAAAATATTCTTTCTTTAGATAATAGAATGTGATTTTCTGTATAGTACTTTAATTTATATTATCATGTGGTTTTATATCTGTGTAATCCCTGTAGGTTCCATAGTGGTCCATGGGCGTATACTAGTTTATGTGCTCTTATATTTGTTCTGATGCAGCTCAAGATCATTCTGAAGCTTTTCAGGAAAGGTTCATTTCTGTCCTGTGAATGGGACTTTTTAAAGTTTGATTCCTGCTGTAATGAGTATCTAGTTTCAATACTACATTTAGTGATTTTCGATACCACCCTAATCTGAAATACTCTTTTGTATTCCCACAGGAGGGAGGATTCACATTTATTTCCCTCTTACCCTCCCGCTTATCAACATTGAACTTTGACCTTTAGTGAAAGTGACTTTGTAAATGTGAACTTTTAACCAGGAAGTGTGAGGTTGAGCTTCCATATTCTTCTCTTTGGAAAGGTTGGTCAGTATTAAGTATTAAGACTAAAAATGGTCTCAAAATGGTCTCAAAATCTATATTCAGTGCAATTAAAAGAGGAACTTAAAGGTGTACTATGTAACTTTACTATTGCAGGGTCCGCCACCTTTTCAATCTCTATGGAGATCTCATTACTTTGCCTGGAATGTTTTACAGTGTAGCCTGAAATGTATCTATCTCCACGGAGACAAGCAGGTCAAGTTAAAGTTCAGGTCTGGGGAAAGGAGATCCTGGTCACCTTAAGAATGCATGTTTTTCAAGGTCATTTTGAGCAATAAAAACACCAGTTACAAAAGAGATACATTATTGTAGAACATTCCAGGCAAAGTCATAACATCCCCATGGTGACATACCCCCCCCACCAGAAAAGTTACATAGTGCGCTTTAAATCTCTAGTATTTTATAGCTCTTCACGAGATTCTGAAAGCACTGTGGAAGACCATTATTCGTCCACTCCCTTCATATGGCGGTAGTTTATACTTACGAAGCCACAGCTGCCCCGGGGGACACTGATTTAAATGTTTCTGAAAATTCCCATCATTGCACATAACTAGACAAGGTGTGGAGTGTCTTGCCCAAGGACACAACGGTAATACATGCACTGGTAGCTCAAACCGTGAAGTCTATAATTATGAGCCACTGTCTCCCACTATAAAAAAAAAAAAAATACAAATTAATATTGATAATGGGGTTGTCAAAAGTACCAAGAATCAGATACTCATTATTATTAAACTAGTATTGAAATTAGATTCTACAGGTGAACCGGTATAAATACTAAATAAGTCCCATTCCTGAATAGGTTTAGAATGATATTGAGCTGTATCAGAACAAATATAAGAGCACATAGACTAGTATATGCCCATGGACCACTGTGGAACCTACCTGCACCACTGAGGGATTAGACACATACAAGACCACATGAGAATAGAAAAGAAAGTACTACCATTTAATGCTGCAGATCACATTCTATTGTCTAAAGAAAGTGTTTTATTTATCATGGTATCAGAATTGGTATTGAGTATCAAGTCTATTCCTTAGTATCGAAATAGTTTGAAATGTCAGCATTGTGATAAAATAATTTGCTTTGTAACATTAACCAGTTGATTTTGTGGACTATGTTACCAGTTTAATGTTTTCACAAGTCCTTTACACTGAAGCGAAAGTGCCACTGGTTTGTCAAGTTTATTTCACAATCTTTGCCTTATAAAAACAGTAGTAATTTCATTGGAATGCATCATGTACAAATAACGTGTTGTCCCATTTTAAAAGGCCAATATTAAAGTTGTTTCATGATCTATCTTATAAAGTTGTTTCGTCATCACAAACAGCCCTGGAGTTGTTTTGTTTCATTCATACATGTTTAACACACAAAGCCTTCACATTTTGGCTGGGTTCTTCTCTCAAACAGAAAACAGTCCTTGTTCTACCTTGTGATGTCAGGAGGTAATATAGAAGTGTTCCACTGTGTTTTTATACTCCATGCACCTTCACTAGAACCATTTGGATGATTTTAGCCCTGGGATTGCCAATCTCTACTGAACAAAGGTAAAAGGAGGTGTTAACTTGAAAACTACCATTACATGACATAACAAGGTGGAACAGAGCA